TATATATATATATATATAAATGATAAAATAAAGAACAAATAGGGAATGTATATCAATCTAACATGTTTGCCATTTATTAAAGCTTCGTTAGAGATACTTAATAAAAATGAAACATGTTAGATTAATTTACATTTCATATTTGTTCTTTATTTTATCCAATCTATATTGATTTGCTTTTGATATATATATATATATATATATATATATATATATATATATATATATATATATATATATATGGATGTTCAAGACGTCTGAAGATCGCGTGTGCGTAAAATTTGAATTTCATAGGATTGAATGTGTTTAAGCTTTTTCTTTTGCTCGATCTAGGCAATCTAGGCTTCGAGCGCTCTACTTAGAAGGTAAGTTTGCCTTTAGGCATTTTTTTCTCTTTTGTTTTTTCAGTATTGTCGTTTTATATTCGAGACTTATAAGTTTTAGATATGAGTTTTAGATTTTGGCAAGTTGTCCGTTGGATCCATATATATATATATATATATATATATATATATATATATATATATATATATATATATATATATATATATTTATTACCATAAACACACACAACACACACACACACACACATATATATATATATATATATATATATATATATATATATATATATATATATATATATATATATGTAAATATATTACGGAAATACTTTTATCTGTTATTTTGTAAATCTTTCCACCTTTATATGTGAAGAAAGTTAATATGGACTTTAAATCATCCACTCTTAATGCTGATATCATCTTTGGGACCTTCTGTACGCCCCATTTCTTCATTCGCATTAACCCTGAAGTAAACCCTAAATATCATATCTCTTATTCTTGTAGTAATTGGTGGCTTACTACCGGAGTTTAAATAATAGCAAACCTGTTCGATATTCCTGTATTCTCTACTGTATTATCGCTGATATTAATCATAATTCTTCTCGGGTTTCCAAGTCTTTTAATCTTCTTGCCAGAATCGTCAAAACGGTTCCAAATACATTGTTCTGAAGGGTACAACGGACATTTTAATTTTACAGTCTTTTTTCTTCCTCTTTTATATACCATTTCCCTTCGCGGAGTGGCCAATCACGGCTCTCCATACTTCCTACTCTTAGTAGCTTTAAACAATATTTGTCTTTTTTACTATCCCTCCCATTTCGTTTTCTTCCATCTATTTATTCAAACTCTTTGGGAAGACTACTCGCTGTTGACCTCTGCCCTTTAACTTTTACTATGTCTAGTGAGTGTTAAATTCTTCAAGCTTATTATGTGTACCAGAAATGTCAACTTACTGATTCTATGTATGTCTTCTTTCTGTTTCATTTCCCTTAAAATGTTCTTGTTGCTCAATTCACTATGATATTCTTAGCATCCTTCTTTAGAACCACATTTATGTTGCCTCAGGTCTTCTCTTGATCTATGACGCAATTTTCCAATATTCACTACCATATCGAAGGTTTTATATACATAGTAATTAATCACAATTTTTGTTGTTTCTAATGAAATTTCCCTGTTTCTTAATATTTTGCTCGGCTTTTGGAAGGCATCTTTCGCTATTCCAATGCGTCGTCGGATTTTTGGTCGTCTGTTAAAACATTTACTACAGGCACTTAGATTTCTGTACTTACTTGATTTTGACATTCCCCCTCCCCCATTAGTGCAGGTTGATGTTTCACTTTTTAAGAAGTTCACCATTGCACTTACGGAGAAGCCTGGCGTTCCAGGTGATAAATATTGACACCAAAAATTACATTAATAGCTTTTACCAATTTTTAAGCATATAGTTTTAAATGTCGTCTGAATAATGTACAGAAATACTTAATTTTCGCAGATTTTTGCTTACAAACGGAACTCAAAATTTCAAGAATAAATCCAAATAAGGTCGATATTTTTGTATTAAATACATTTAATGGAAAATATATTCCAACCAGAATTCTAATTATGAATCACAGGCAAAATATGCATTTTTTTACTATATTCGATAAGTAAAAACTGTGTAAAAAGATTAAAAAAAGGCCAGTCAATAAATAAGATTTGTTAGATCATAATTAATAACCAACAATAGATAAAAATATATGTAACACCATAATACTACTGGGCACATATTATAAGACAAAATATTTTAAATTTGCATTGTTTATTGAAAACCACATTAAAATTACTGCACTGTTTAACATATTACCTCATAATATAGCTAAATTGTTTGGTATAATTTCCCTTTGAAATCAAGGATCATATTTGATGGCACAATGATTTAGTAATAATGTGCTTATGCCATGCATCTTGTCCATATACAATTTGTAAAGTTTCAGGAAATGTTAAATTTTATAAGGCTTTCACTGATCACTGGGATGAAATTCAAATGCTGCAATTTTAAACCTAAACTTAATCTTCAAACTCATTTAATAAAAAATAAAGTGTTTGGCTAAAAATTCCAATACATATCACCTGAAGAAAGTTGGAGCGTACATCGGCTGAAACGTTTTTGCTAACAAACTGATTTCCAATTTTTACTATTTGAAGAGTAATCCAAATAAAGTTGATATCTTTTTTATTAGATATATTGAATGGAAAATAAGTAAAAACTGTAAAAAGATTACAAAAAAGGCCAGTCAATGAATAAGATCTGTATATCATAATTAATAAAAACCAACAATAGATAAAAGTATATGTAACACCATAATACTACTTGGGCACATATTATAAGACCAAATATTTTAAATTTGTATTGTTTTTGAAAATCACACTAAAACTACTGCACTGTATAACATATTACCCCATAATATAGCTAAATTGTTCAATATAATTTCCCTTTGAAGTAAATGAAGGTCATATTTGATAGCATAATGATTTAGTAACGATGTGATCGTGTAATGCATTTTATCCATATACAATTTATAAAGCTTCATTAAATTATAAATTTTATAAGGATGTACTATAAGGCTTTTACTGATCACCGGAATGAAATTCCAACGCTGCGATTTTGAACCTGAACTTATTCTTTAAACTCGTTTCCTCAAAAATGTTAACAATTTGGAAAAAATATTTTGTGTCGATATTTATCATGTCAAACGCCAACTTTCAAATTGAGTGCAATAGCACGGGTTTCAAAATCGGCCATCCCTAATCCCCTATTCGTAGATCACATCTTGATCTGTTCCTCCTGCTGATGATTCTACATTCTGACTCCATACAATTGATAGCCTTTTCTTCTTCCGTTTCTTTAATGCATTGTCTAGATGTTTTCATTTTTGTTCTGCCAACAGGGTGTCATCTACATGTCTCATGATGTTAAGATTGTGCCCACTAGTAATAAATCATGGTAGGGATTCTAGTTCTCTCGTGATTGATTCGCTGTAAAGATTAAATAAATCCGACATGAAGGCGCATCGCTTTCTATCTGTCTGTGCTTGTTCAATTCAATTTTTATGCGTATGCAGATGCTTTTTCCTAGCAGTTCGTTTAGATGTTCGTGCTGTTTTCTAGATTTACTCTTTCATTCAATTCTACTCGGTGATTGATCTCCAGCAATATCCACAAACGAATTTTCCTCATTACGACTGGGTGAGCTCTTTGAATTTCAAAGAATCACAGAATTATATTTTCTGGGAGAGCTTTTGGTTTGGATGTACGAGGTATGACTGGAACGTATTCAGGCATGTTGAATATCTCGTTAAGCGGCCATGATGTAACTTGGCCAGCCATCATAGGGTAGCTTACTGCGCATGCGCAATCACTCTTCCCTGGTGCTATTCATTCAACAGTGAGGCACTTTTAAGTGAACTTGTAACCGTAGTATGCACAATGATTGAGTGAATGCAATCTGCAGAGTTTTCTAACAGGAGATTGCATCATTCGCGTCTTGTAGCACTCCCCTTCACATACAGTGTAGAGTTGGCACCCACAAGCTTCTGACTTTTCCTCAAATTAAAATCGCCGTTTAAAAAAATCATGGACGAGATTAAGGAGAACGCGGCACTGCATCTGATGATTTCCTGAAAGGGAATTTTTTTGAAAAGTGTAATGGGCGCCGGAATAATTGCTTGAGTTACTAAAAGAGATTACTTTAACGGAGACTATGCCACCATTGCCTTAGGCATCTTTTTGCTAATATAAAAAGGGTGGATGCTTTCCAGTCATTGTATGCAATTGGATAATATCCGGGATTACCAAAGTGAGCACTACTAACCGAGTGGGTGCGGTTGAAAGATCCAAAGGTGTGGTTAGGAAAATAAGGAGCTATTAATAGGGCCGAATGGTGTCATTCGTAGCAAGAAATATTTTTTCTCTATTTTTAAAAAATCTGTATGGAAGTTTTAAAAACAAATCATGGTATGTAACAATAGCAACACACCACTACCTGCCTGAGGCCTTCTCACGGACTTGGTAGGTAGTGTGATGATAGAAGAAATCGAAATATAATAATAATAATAATAATAATAATAATAACCTTAGATCACCAATATAGTAAAACAAAAAGCGGCGTATCGTGTTTTTTACTATGATGAGATTCTGAGGTTTGAGTCTTTAAATATATTTCAAATATGTTTCCATTTATTTTTATACTATTGTTAAGTGAATTCCAAACTCAGAGTAGAGTTTCACTGGATTAGGTTATTATAAGGAAGTGAAAGGTTGAGAGTAAAAAGTGCATATTATAAGGATAGATAATGGTTGACCCTAGACTTGAAGAGTTTTTTTTTTTAAAGATCCTTCTGGGCGTTTGCTCCGCAAAGTAATAGTTATCAATGTTATACTTCATTCTTTTCTGACATCGATCTTTTCATATCCTGGGAACTTTTCCAGACAGATCGACATTATCATAATAAAGACACTGATACCTGGCGTCACTAATACAAGTGAGATAAGTCCGCTACAGAAAATATAACAGACCTTACGATATTAGAGGCAACACTAATTTTTAAATGCACTTAGCATATTGTATATATAAATGGATTCTGCTATCAGTTCTTTATCTCACTTTATAATTTTCTTTTCATGTTTTCTTCCTCTTTTCTACTTCTTTCTTTGTTTTCTTCTTCTTCTTCTTCTTCTTCTTCTTCTTCTTCTTCTTTATCTTCTTCTTCTACTACTACTACTACTACTAATACTACTACCACTTCTTGTCGCTATCATTATTATTTTTTATTTTAGTAAAAATAAAAAGGGAAAAAATTGTTTTCTTTCTTCTTCTAATAGTTTTCTTTAAAAAAAAAAACAACATAAAACCGATTTACCATTTTTTTCTTTTCCTTCTCCGCACGCTTCTCTCCCTTTTACTCTTTATTCATCTTCTACTCACTTTTCTTCTCCTTTTCCTTCTCCTCTTCCTCTTTCTCTTCCCTCTCTTTCTCCTCTCCTTCTTTCTCTTTTTATTTTCTGTTTTTCTCACCTCTTCCACTTCTTTTCTTTATCTCCTCATTCTCTTTCTCCTTTTCGCCTCCTCCTCCATCCTTATATTTTCTCTACCTTCTTTTCTTATTCCCGTTCATCTTTCATTCTTTTTCTTCTTGATATTAGCCTTTTATTTCTTTTGTATTTTTTATACATTATTTTCAAGTTTGATTTTATTTTTTCTCTTTACTTTGCATCCATTTTTTTTACTTATTGACGTTGGCTTTTCCTTATTTATAAAAATCTTACCGACGCTGCACATTTATTTCTTTGTAATTCTATTACCTTCGTCTTTAGCCTCTTACATCCGCGACTTGTCAGCGGCTAATTGAATCATGGCAGACGATAATGATATAAACACAAATGAAATCCGGCAAATTGGAAAGAAATTAAACATTCCCTCCTATCAACAACAACAAAAATTTAAAAGAAAACAAATGCTGTCAAAAGCATAAAGTTAAAAAAAAAATACTGGAAGGCAATACGGATAAAAACGGACTCGCCCGAATTAAAACAAAACCGAAAAATAGAAATAGGACTTTTCTGTAATATGTTAAATCGGTTGTATGTTTTTTAACTTAGTGTGGCATAAGGTTTTCAAGTTTGGGGTACCCTGTAAAGTTTGAATTCACACTACACATTAATAATTGTCTGTTACGCAAGTACACAAATACTATTCAATCGGCAAAGCGCCTTAAACTATTTACTCAGCTAACCATAATCAGGAAAAAGACTACACTGGGTTTTCACAGTATCTCTCCACGACAGAGGCCGAATCTTTATTACTAACAATTATTAATAATAGGAATCTATTTTCGGGGTGTATGATGGAATTTGTTTGGCCTTGAAAATTATTACGTCATCCGTGATTGCATCAGATTTTTATCACACCTATACACTATTGTTTCAACTGTCTATTAGTTGTCCTACGGCCATTGTCTGTGATGGACGTTACTCCAAGGAAGCGCACGAAAATTGTAACGCTGTACGAATACACTGGCAAGCCTCACCAGTGAGCAAATGAAAGTACTATAGATTGGCCCGGTATATCTCCTGATTTAAATCCAATCAAGAATCTGTGGTCAATCTGTTAAGAACGACTTCGTGGAATGCATATTAAGTACTAACATGTACACTGGATCATGTTTCATTGAGAAAATACGAAAAAAAGTAAATAATAACGAAATTATTCGTTTTGTTTTAATTAATTTGCACAAGGGTGTGGTTGTAGAAAAAAAGTTGCGATCAAAATTAAGAACAATATTGCTCTATGAATTGCCTGGATGTATGTTTTTAAAAATGTTTTTAAATTAAGGTTTTGTGGGATTCTAAAGTACCCTGAATGATGGTGTATATTAAACATAGTTCTCTCTAGTTTCAACTCAGTTAAGAATTCAAATGCATTTAGCACCAATCGTCAATTGTTCGAAAAGAAAAGATTACCAACAGCCGACAAGACACTGGGCAACAAAGGATCAACGATGCAAGTAGTGGACGTAGGATTTCCCGTCAAGTACAAGCTAACGAAAGGATTATATTGTTTATAGCTTTAATCAAGACGAAGGAAGAAATGCGTCACAAAACACAGTACATCGCTCCTTGCTGTTTATAGCTGAAGGTCCGTCACAAGACCTATGAAAATCAATATCTACAGCCAAAAACTTATTCCTCGTACAATGTCAACATCCAGTGGCATCTTTCGGTAGGAAAATGCGTCTTCGAACAAAGAACGACTGTGGTCTCGGACATATCTGGCAGAAAACACCGCAGATTTCAACCTAATTGTGCATTCATGTGATGCGCTAAACTAAACAGTTCGTTCAGCAAAACTTTTGTTATGTATCTTACACCAGTCAAAGGACCTGCTGGTAATCGCAGCATAGATGTTTTAAGGTCATATTGGGTTCATGGATACTCTGTTAAAATTCACATGGAAGAACGAAGACTTATTTTTTGAAGCTAGTCATAAAGTTATTAAGACCAGAGTTTATATTTTACAAATCGTGTTCAACAAATACAAAACTCAAGAGCCACTTTAGGTAGAGGGTTAACGAAAGCAGTGTTCAATATTAATGTAATAGTAGGAAGTAGGAAATGAAGCTAATGAAAATATAGAAAATAGATAAAGATTGAGCCCTGATTTGTAGAGGTCAAGATTGCAGCGCTAGAGTAAGAATTCCTGTAGAAATGTGTTCTTTGGGGAAAAAGATGTCTTACACTTGAAATACAGAGTTGTTTGATTCTATAGACATAAAGTGGCATATCGTGATATAAAGGACGCGAGAGATAAATGGTCGCCATTTTATATTTTTTAATTTCGCGCATGCGCGTCGTTTGTTTTCGATATTGTCGACTGTACAGTATAGTAAAGTCAGTTAGGCACCGTCTGTTAGAATAAGAGCGCCATGACGCAATTCACTCTGCGAGAAATTTGGAAACGGCATGCTCTACTGTTGGCATTCACGCCAGAAGCTCCAATACGAACAATTCATAATGTTTGGGTGTCAATCTGAGGACAGTGAAGAGGATTCGGAAAAAAATGGATGATATATCAAGTCAACATTATGGTGTTTGGAGTGATCACTAGTGATGGCGACGTTATGTCTCCATTCATCTTCCTACAGGGCATCAGACTCAACACGAGGAGGTAGTGCTACCCTGGGTCAAGTGGGTTGCTGCTGGAAGACTATAGGTCTGACAACAGGACTCTGTACCATGCTATATCAGCAGGAGAACCCCGTCATTGCTGTCAGACAAATTCTGCGACTACATTATCACTTATATCTGACCACCTAACTCCCCAAACTGCAACCCTCTTGATTATTATGTGTGGAGCGTAGTTGAGCGAGAGACCAACAAAACTGCTTGTAATACCAAAGATGAACTGAAGGTAAGGATTATGGCAGTATTCACCAACTTAAGCAAGGACACTGACCAGAAGAGTTGTAGAAGATTCGAAGTCGTTTGGAGGTCGTGGTTGAAGCCAATGACGATTTTATTTAGTATTTCAAGATATTTTTGTATCATTTTAGAACATACTAGCAGTAGAGCCCGGCATTGCCCGGGGATGTAACAGTAAGAGATAGATCAAGTATCGACCATCATAAAGACTGAAAAATAAACTTGACAAAGATTATTGTTTAAGGTTGACGGACACGCATGTCTTAATTAGTTTTTTTTTTTTTTTTTTTTTTACGAATTGGTCAAACCCAAACTCAAACAAAACATTGTTTTCAATCGTTATGAGTCTACCGATTGAATAGAATTTTATTATAAACAATTGTCTTGTAAATGGAATTTTAAAGCATTCTGAATGTAAAAATAAAGAAAAAAGTGTGCAAGACAATAAGAAACACTACCTGCCAAAAAAAGTGAAATTTTGTTGAAATCGGTTGAAAAATATAGGAAATCCTATCCAATATATAAAAGAACACACACACACACACACACACACACACACACACACACACACACACACACACACACAACCTGGGTTTTATAATAAGTATGAAATTTCTTAAAATGAAATGTCAGTGTTATTTTCATTTTTGCGTAATTTAGACGACAATTTATCCATCGAACCCTATATATATATATATATATATATATATATATATATATATATATATATATATATATATATATAGGTATTCCTAAAGATTCGCGAATATATGTGAGTACCTGATGAAATAATTTCCAAATTATCATCGTCAAAATCTTTATATTTTCATTAAGAAGAAATACCAAAATATTTATTATTAATTTATATTTTTAATCCTTTTTTAAAACCTTTTGGTTAAATTGTTTTTTTTTCTTTTCAACCGTTGACCTTGAATTAGTATAGGTAACTTTAGCGTCTTTTTTTGGATGAAGAAAACATAGATTTGGAAATTCGTGAAACATTCAAGTAATTGTCGGACTTTAAGAAAACATTCAGAACTTCACAAATAAATGAACTTATTATGTTTTTTGGTTTTTTGTTTTGTTTTGTTTTTTTTAAAAAAATCGTGGTAAAAATATTAAATTTTTTAATTTGGTACCTCCTGCTTATTTATTTTTATGAAATTTCGATATATTAATTTCTGTACGGCTTAATGATTATTATAAGTAGAAATATTTGGCGAATTTAAACCATCAATTTTCTTTTCGAAAACATGACTACAGTAACCGAAAATCTGCTCTGAATCGTAAATTAAAAAATACAATGAAACTAATATATTTAATTAGAAAATCTTTTAATTGCTTTATGAATAAGATATATACCACTGTCTTAAGAAAAAATTAGATATGAATAAACAGAGATAGATAGATAGATAGATAGATAGATAGATAGATAGATAGATAGATAGGAATAAGCATACTAAGATACATACATAGATAGATATGGCAATCTGTAAATATCGTCTTGTGCAAAATTTGAAAATTGAATCATTGTATCAAAATGGAGCAACTTGATATTTTTCTATCATTCAGCTTAATATTTGTCTTTACAAAACAAAGCATCAGGTTGAGAGATGTAGACAAGAACGATAATGTTTGTTAGCCACCAATAAGTACATGTCATAAAAGCCAGGCTATATTATATCTCTCATCTTGTGTCTTTGTATTTGAACAGTGCACAAAAAATTAATGTACGCTCCGTCCTTCTTCATTAGAATTTAGAACGGAACCCTTTATTTCGCCCACCCAGGTAGATTTTCTCTAGTTTCACATGCCATGCCTTTTCTGCATATTTCAGTTTCAGTTATCTCCCTTTAGTAACTAAACTCTCCAAATCTTTGTTCACCACTGTTCACTTATAAAACTAATGTCGCAGTAACCATTTTTACCTGAGCTCATTTTACAATCTCCCAGTAATCATATTTACGAAAGCTTATATAACAATTTTTGTTATTACAAGTCAAAAGTATTCACATACTGCCGTCCCCAATGACATATGGTCCAGTGGATAAAAGCGCTGGTTGAAGTAATCAAGTAAATTGACCTAAAGAGTTGTGAGTTCGATACCTGGCCACAGAAGAGGTGAATAAATAACTTGGAGAGTTGAGTTACTAAAGGGAAATAACTGAAACTCAGATTTTTTAGATATCTGAGTTTCAGTTATTTCCCTTTAGTCATGGCACTAGAACATTCTATCTCGGTGGACGAAAAAAAAAGGGCTCAGCTCCAAATGTCAATGTATTCATCAGAAGAAGGCCGGAACATACAACGACATTAAAGATGAGGATAATAGTCCAAAAATGTGTAAATATAGATGTGTGTGAATTTTAAATGTTTTTTTTTTGTTTTGTTTTTTTTATCAATCGTTGATAATTAAATAGAAACGTTCAGT